TGACAGGTTCCTTCAGAGGTTAGAGCACACATAGCCACTCACACCAGCCCCCTCCCCGTGTGACTTCATTGACAAGTGCTGCACACAGTCGATACCCGTGATATTTCGCAGAAACGGACTCTTCCGTTGTGTTTAAACGCAGAGCAAGAAGCGAGGCCTGTAGCCGGGAGGATCTGGGAGGATGGAAGGAGCTAAGCCTCGTCCCGTGGGTCTGGCCAGTGCCCTAACTCAGGCCTGCTGCCTTCCTGGGGCTGAGTGATGTCCTCACAGCCTGGCAAAACACCCAGTGGAACTGAGAACAGGGTGGGACCCCAGCAACCACAGCAGGATGCCGTCTGTTCTTGGTGCTTCTCCTTGCAGAGTCTGGGTGGTTCTGGGTTCACTTGGGGATGTGTTTACCTCCCGCCGTCCTGTGCGGTTGCCCGCGACTGCACTTGCATTTGAATTTAGCGGGCAGCGTGCCCTGGGCAGGGCGTCTGTCCCCTCCCGCTCCCCGCCGCCCCCTGTGCGCACACGGGTGCACTCGGGTTCCTTTGAGCAGCTGCCAGATCTGTAGTGTGTGTGCTGGGGGTGGATAGAGTGGGTAATTATTTTGGGGGATGGCAACACAGGAATTTTTTTTTTTTTCTCTGAATAGGCCTTTCAGCAAGTTGGCAAAGCGTCAGGCCCGCTCCCGCACCGGCACAAAGAGCACAGCCATGCTGGGCATTTTGCATTTGCCAGACGCGGAGTGTCATGGTTTTTTGAATGAACAGACCCTCCCCTCCCCCAGCCCCTTGCTCTTTGTTTCGAATTGGGATGTAATCTAAATAATTGGATTTACCAGCTTACGTTTTTAATATTGGAAAATTGAGTTAATAAAATGATGTTTTGGCACGCAGGGCCCTCGCCAGGGGACCCGCCGTGCATTCACTTCCAGCCGCCCGGGCCCCCTTGCCCCTGCTCTCTGCAGCCTGATTGTATGCGTGCGCTATGTCCTCGTTGGTTTGTAAACTATCAGAAATCCTGGACGGAAATGGAATTTAATTAACCTAGAAATTGCTGCCGTGCCTAGTTAGGGCCGCCTGGGAAGTGAGTGTGCAGTAGATCGTGCTGGCTCACTCCACTGTAGGTGTCCCGGAGGAACCTGGAAAAGGAGTCCATCCGTAGGTGAGGGTCCTAAGAGCAGGTGCCAGGAGGCCTCTGAGCGCCTCTGGGGAGGGGTGCCCGGGGCGGCTGTTATGAAACAAAGCACTTGGTATAGGACATTCGTCAGAGCACCCATGAATTCTTCACAGGCTTCACTCACACAACTCACTGTTTAACTTTCAGAATAACACTCGTGTCGGGACCAGCAGATGGTGTAGTGGTTATGTTACTGGACTCGCACATGGCCGACCGCAGTTCATGTCCCGGACTTGGTGGCTTCAAACTCATGCCAGGCTTCTGTATGTGCGTGCCCAAGATCCCAGGATGGGAACGGAGAAGGGATTGCGGCATGGCCATGCCCCTGGAGGGTGATTTCTCCCCAGTGAGTGCATGTGCCCTATAGCAAAAAACTCACACTTCTCCCGCACAGCCACCCAAAAAAAAGAAGTAGTGTTTATTTTGGTTTGTTCCGTAAAGGTGCTATATTTTCTTTCAAACTAAGAAAATAGAATAAGTGACACGCACTAGGCAGTGGGCAATGCCACCTGTTCAGGGGGTGGAAGGCCTGGACGGCTGAGCAGAGTAAAATGCCGCCTTCCATGCAGCTTTGGGGGTGGGAGGGAAGTGGGCCTCTGCTTCCCTCCGATTTGCGGCTTAGTCAGGAGCTGAGACTAGTGCAGGGAGCGTGGTCCAGAAGGCCGGTGGCAGTTCGAATCCCAGTCCCACCAGCTTGGTAACCACGTGTGCCAAATCCCGGCAGGATGGAGAAACACTGAAGGGACTGAGCCCTGACCCGGTGCCACGAGGGAGGGGATGCTTTCTCCCTCTTTCAGTTTTTCTCTCTGGCAAGATTCTTCATTGATTGATTGAGATTTTTGTCATAGGGTACATGTGTTTGCCGGAGACAGACAGACAGGGAAAAGGATGTCACCCCCTGCCCCCTGGCGGGGTGGCCACCCTGTAATCCCTTCTCCTCAATTACCCTATTGAATTTGGGACATGTGCACCCACACACATACCTGGTATTTGTCAAGCCACAGAGTCTGGGACTTGAACCTGAGAGTCGACCATGTGGGATCTAGGCCCTTAACCTCCCAGCACCCATTGGCCCGTGCTTTTTTTTTTTTTTTTTAAGGTACAACTAGCCTGCGATGCATGTGGGGGTCATGTCCACATGGCACATGGCAGGAGCCTCCTGGGACCAGCAGGCTGTCACCTTGAATGGTCTTGCTGTGTGTATGGATGGGGGTGTGCAGTTGCACGCATTGTGGTAAGAGAGTGCCACTTGTGCTTGCGAGTGGAACTGGACGGCCCAGGCTTTAGTTAGTGGTGATGTCATCGCAGAAGACAGCGAGTGGTCTGTGAGTGACGTGGCTCTGGAAACCCAAACACCAGCTTCTCTCGGCACCCTTCTGAGTTAACGGTTCAGTTTGGTTGTTCTTTAATATATGCCCATATCTGTTGCACGCGCACACACACACACACACACACACCCTTACACAAACATTGGCAGTGATTAATCCAAACAACTTAAAACAATTTTTTTGAGAGATTTTTGCTGTAGGATATGTGCGCTTGCTGAAAGCCAGAAGTCACCCTTCACGGGGATGGCCACGCCACAGTCTTCCCCTCCACTTCACCTCTCGGGATTTGGGGCATGCACACGCAAGTGCCTGGTGTGAGCTTTAAGCCACCAGGTCCGGGACTCGAATCATGGCCAGCCATGTGGGACTCCACGGATGTAACCTTCAGTCATCTGCCCGTCCCAAGATGAGAGGTTTTTAAGTTGATTTCTTCCATGACCGGGACAGGCACTCCTGAGTAGTCTCAGTCCCTGTCCTCCCCCATCTCAGATGGCCTGGGCCACCGTGTGTGCGCACTGGCCAGGCCTCCTCAGGGAGGTCCTGGGCCGTGAACCAAGGCCTTGCCTGTGTGGGGCCAGCTGTGTTACGTCTGTGCCACCTCGTGGTCCTGAAACATCTTATTTTCTCTCAGCCCCTGTTCCCCAGTCTTGTTTAATTCGTTTGTTTGTTTGTTTTTAAAGAACTGGTCTCTCTTGCTCTTTTTTTTTTTTTTTTTTATTAATTTTCTTTAACTTCATTTATTTGTTTTAATTTGACCAGAGAAGGACAGAGTGAAAGCGAGAGAGAGAGAAAGCAAATACTTAGGTCTGGGACTCGAACCACTGTTGGCCATATGCGAGTCCAGTGCCCTTAACCACCAAGCCACTGGCTGTCCCCCCTCTTCCCAGCCTTAGGTTTTGCATACTGAATATGTTACCCCCCCAGGAAAATCAGTTCATTTGTAAATGTCTTATTACACACACACACATACACACTAGGGAGAAAGGTTTTTGCTATAGGGCACGTGCACTTGTCAGAAAGGCAGACAGCAACAGAGAGGCAGAAATCCCCCCCCACCCCCAAGAGGGGATGGCCACACCGCAATCCCTTCTCCTCCATTCTCCTCTCAGGATCTTGGGCACACATGCACACACACCTGGCGTGAGTTTAAGCCACCGGGTCCGGGACGCGAACTGCAGTCGACTACGTGGGAGTCCAGCAGCATAGCCATTATGCTACCTGATGGACCCTCCCACGATTCTGTAGGAGTCAAAATTATGGAAAGGCGTGTCTTCCATGTACCGTGTTTCCAGTGAGGGTGTCTTCTTAAGGAAATCTCTTTTGTGCTCTGTGGATACAAGCTGGGGGGTTGTAATGTCAATATCTGATTTTGTCCACAGGGAAAGAACCTGTAGGGTTGACAAAAGAATACTGTGCTCAGTCTCTAATTAAGGAGTTGAGACTTGACCTTGTCTACTGAAGGTAGCCCCGAACTTGAGGGCACAGGTTGTCTGGAGACACATTTTCCCCTTGTTGCAGGCTTTGCTTGTTGTAGTGAGCTTGTTCGACTATGCTCAGAAGACATGAGAGATGGGCCACTTCTTCGTCTGGAGTAGAAGATGGTTCAGGGGTGGATAAACAGGCCCACAGAGGGTGCAGTAAGAGCCAGCTAGGTGGTATGGTTTTTGAGGTGTTCGGCTCCCACATGGCAGACTGTGCTATTCAAGACCTGGACCCAGTGGAGGACAGTGGAGGACACATGGGTGCTTGTACATGCGTGCCCAAAGTCCAAAGAGGAGAGTGGAGGAGAAGGGATTGCAGTGTGTCCCTCTCCTCTGTGGGATGATTTCTCTCTCTTTCTGTTGTGCCCTATAGCCAAAGTGTTTTTATTTTTTTAGAGAGATTTTTGCTATAGGGTGCATGAGCTCACCAGAGGGTCAGAAAGTCACAGAGAGACAGAAAGTCAGAAATCACCTCCAGGGGGGATGGCCATACCACAATCCCTTCTCCTCTATTTCCCTTTTGGGATTTTGAGCACACACTCACACATGCCTGGCGTGAACTGCACGCCTTCTCGTCTAGGACTTGAACTGTGGTCGCCCATGTGGGAGTCCAGAAACACAAAATATTGTGATACTTTTGTGACGCCACCTGTTGGTCTGCAAAATGGGTTTTAAAAAGACAGAGCAGGGGCCAGCAGGTGGAATAGTGACTGAGTCCATCGTAGTTACGTATGCAGTCAGGAGTAGTTAACAGAGTGCAAGGTGAGTAAAACGTGTGTTTGCACACTCATGCGCGCATCATGGTGTGTCTTTTATACACATGTATAAAACACAGTCTTTTAATCCATTTATTGCCCTTTAAGATGGTCCTGTGCTTTATGAGAATGTGAGAGCTATGGAACCTGCATTTAAAAGACTTTGCTGGAAACGGGGTCTTTCTCCTTCTGTGTCACGATTGTACTGCTGCGCGTAGGTCTGTCGTCTGGCCTCTGCCTAATGTGTTGTTAATTTTCTCTTGCCTTTCCAGGCCCAGGCTGCAAGCACAAAGGAAGTTTGCTCAGTCTCAGCCGAATAGTCCCAGCACAACTCCAGTAAAGATAGTGGAGCCTCTGCTACCCCCTCCAGCTACTCAAATTTCTGACCTCTCTAAACGGAAGCCTAAGACAGAAGATTTTCTTACCTTTCTCTGCCTTCGAGGTAAGACCGCGTCACCAGCCGGTTTACACCGGTTTGCAAGAGTCCCCCTGGGTGAAAGGATGCAGAGGAAGGCGTGGGGCAGGGAGGTGGTGTCCGAGGGAGGTGGTGTCCGCTCTCGGCCTGTCTTCCCGGCCCGTCTTCCCGTCCCGAGCTGGGTGGAGGGTTTGCGAGTGAGGACTCCTGCTGCAATGCGCCTTGTAGATGCGGTTTCCAGCGGCCGCTCCTTCTGTCTTCATGTTCCTTTAGACTCATCCCTTCTTACTCTTTTCTTTTGTGACAAGGACCATTTAGGAGTCAGGGTCTGGGTCCTGCAGTGTCTTCTCTCTGGCGTGTTTCTGGCCTGCGGGGGTGTGTGTGCGCACGCGCTCCTTGGCTAAAGCTGGATGGGTCCCCTCGGCTCTGCGCGTACTGAAGTTGATGACTTAGCACTGCAGCCCCATGGGTTTCCCCCTTTCTGCATTCAGCGCTGCGGATACTGGTTGGTTCCTGCTATCCTTCACGCATTCATCTATTTCCTCGGTCTTCTTCAGTGTAACCACCTCCCATCGCTGCTGCCACCACACCCCTTGTGGACTCTGTTACCACACTGCCCTGACGCCCCACTCAGTTGCTCTCCTCTCCCTCCCTGCTTGCTTCGTCTCACCAGTTGGAGTTGGGAGTGAACCAGGGATGGAGAAATGAAGAGCTGAGCTGATGTCTGACATGATCGTCTATGTTGTTAGTCCCCAGAGCGTCGCAGCGCACAGGAAGAGGAGTAATTGTATTCCTGTTAGAGATTTTCTAGCAGCCATGGATCACTGGCCTTGCATAGAAGAGATGATGTGGATGGGCTTTCTCCCAATTCATCTTCGCTAGTTTTCCCGTAGCTTCTTGCAGAAAGAGCTTCATGATCCTAGGTCGAATGTGAAGATCTAAAACACAGTCTGGTGCTGGGTTGGCTGTCCAGGGAAGAGGGCGACGTCGGCCTGCCATGAGGCTGAGGGGTGAGCTGTGAGCGTGGGATGCAGTGTTCCGAGGGAGTTGGCGCTCATGTCTGCTCTGAAGGGTCTGCAGGATGACCAGCAGGATGGGGACGTGGCTCTCTCTTTATGACTGTTCATGCATAGTGTTTAATGTCGTCAGAAGCAGTTTCTTTTTTTTTTAATAGATTTTTGCTATAGGAAGTGTGCCCTCAGTAGAGACAGAAAATGAGATATCACTCTCTTCTCAAGATTTTGAGCACAGTGAACCAGCATTTAGCGTAATGGCTATGTCGCTGGACTCCCACGTAGTCGACCACGGTTCGCATCCCGGACCTGGTGGCTTAAAACTCATGCCGGGTGCGTGTGCATGCGTGCCCAAGATCCCAAGAGGAGAATGGAGGAGAAGGGATTGCAGCGTGACCATCCCCCCTGGGTGGTGATTTCTCACTTTCTGTCTCTCTGTCTGTCTGGCGAGCGCATGCGCCTTATAGCAAAAACCTTTCCAAAAAAAAAAAAAGATTTTGAGCACACACACAGATGCTCCGCATGAGTTTTAAGCCGCCAGGGCCGGGACTCAAACTGAGGTCAACCATGTGCAAATCTAGTCTTAAGCACTGTGGCACCTGCTGGCCCTCGAGGCCGATTTTATTTATAAGGAGCAATCGTTAAGTATTTTTGGCTTTTTTTTTTTTTTAAGGAAAAGCATTTGGACCTCTGGATTATAGGTCCTTCGTTTAAAATAAATGAGGAAATAATATAGTGGTGTGTGCTGCTGGAAGGTCTCCCTTCCTGATTTGTTAGGATGTCTGCAGCTTGTTCCATTGGTTATGGGCTGTCGTCATGTGAGAGTTGACTTCCTGACTGTGGAGTGGGTGACTGTTGTTTGTAGGTTCCAAAGGTGACAGGTACAACTACTGGGAACGTGTCAGTGATTATATTTAGAGAGGGGAGTGTGTGTGTGTGTGTGTGTGTGTGTGTGTGTGTGCACGTGCTCATCACACATACCTGTTTAAGTGGTACTTTTAAAATCATACCTTGTGTGGTTTAAGGACTTACTTGGACAAAGACGATGCTCATTTCTCCATTTCATAGCATCTGGGAAGTCTGGGTACCCAGGTTTGAAGTTTCCAGACTCTGGACAGAAGAGAATCGTATCTTGCTGATTGAGTTTGCTCCTTTGAGAAGTGACATCCAGCGAAGCTGTAAATAAGTGAAACCTAGAAGGCTGAGATGATTTTGGAAAAATGGCTCTCAGCCGTAGCAATTGGTCCGTCTGTGTCTGAGCCGAGCAGTAAGACGGGTTTCGTTATTAGCGGGTGTGTAATGAGGACTTTTATTGCACTTTTCGTATTTCCTCTGTATTTTTAAACCTGAGATTTCACAAATAAGATTCAACTTTAAAATATCATTTTTTTGGGTCAGGATAGGTGTGTTTCCCTAATCTGGCCCTGTAAGGCCACAGTGATACACGATGCGTGTGATACCTTGAGGATCCTGGAAATGTCCTAAACCTGATGGCCCCAGATGGCTTTTTCACCCCTTAGTTTTGCTGCAGGGAGCTTGTACTTGCTGGAGAGAGACAGAGAGAGAGAAAGAACAAATCACGCCCCGGGACAATGACCACACCCGTCTTCCCTCTATTCTCCTCTCAGCATTCTGGGTACACCTGCGGACCCAAACCACCAGGCCTGGGACTTGAACCACGCAGTCAGTCATGTGAGATCCAGTTGCCTTCACCTCCATGCCACCTACCCGCCTACCTGGCATATATTAATAGGTAATTTCTTGAGCTAATTAAAACTGGTATTTCTACGCGTCCAAGGGTTAAAGAGATGATCCCTGTCCTTGAGCTACTTCAGTCATTTCTTTTCAGTTTCCAATTTTTAAAATAAGGTGTTACACTCTTTAAAAACCATTAAAGTATTGCCCGTTCATTTGGGAATAGTCGCAGGAAGAAAGGTGGCGGATAGAAGAGGGAACTGAAAAGAGCCGAGTCTCATCTCTCGGAGACGTCGCTGTTGGCCACCTCCTCTGTGGACACCTCACCCGCCGTCTGCATGTACACGTGGGATGCAAACTGCTCCCCGAAATGGCTTCGCCTTCTTCTATTTTTGCACCTGCTGTTCCTACTTAGCGGTATGACAGAAGTACCTGTCTGTCGTGCAGTTTTAGTAGTTTTACAGTGTTCCCTTCCTTTATGAGGGTGTCATAATCTCCCTAATTCCGAATCTTCAGGTCGATGTGTTTCTGCCTTTTGATTTTGACTGCCGAGGACACGTAACCTCAGTTACATTTTGCCTCCTCCGAAGTCTTGTCAGGCAACACAGACAGTTGAAAATCTGGTTGACACCCTTTGGCCTGGCTTCTGATTCTGCATCTTATTTCTTGGTGCCAGCTCCACACCAAATAGAGCCCCCAAAGGGCTGAGTCAGGTCATCTCCCTTGGCTGTCTGGGGGTGCTGCAGGGGTGCAGACTGCGGTCTTTAATGGGCTCGTTATTTACAGGGTCGAATGTCTGGCTGTAGAAATGAAGGAATCAAAGCAAAGACCTGGCTATGATGTTTGTGCCTAGAATTGCAGGTCACCCCTTTCTCCAATCCCCGGTTACTACCTTTCATCGCCTTGACGCTCATTTGGAATAGAAGAGAATGAATCGGGACGCAGAGTCGGGACGACAGCAGTGGAGTTCTGTTAGCCATTAGGGACAGTGAGGGAACTCAAGACCCAGCCGTCTCCCCGAAACTCGAAACTCGGCCAGGAGGGGAACCCCCCCTCTCCCATTAGTGTAGGGACCGGCATAGCTGTGTAAACACAACAGCTAGTCATTCCGGGTTAAAAAGCTTTAGAGATTTTTCTAAGCTGTTTCAAGGCGCTTGGGGATTTAACAACTAAGTTGGGCAAGGCTCTTTCCTTTCCTGTTTAATATCATGACCTCGAATTTCTAAAGGACGGGCGGATGGCTGGATTCCTGCAGCAGGGCCCGAAGCGTTTGCTTGCAGCGACTTAGCTGTAAATAGCTGCTTTGAAGGGTCCACGCGGCTCTTGCCAGAGGCGTAATTAGTACCTCTGCCGGGCAGGCAGGCAGCGAGGAGGGCTTCTGCATTTGCAGCACGTGGCGATGGGGCCATCGTGCCATCTCTGTTTTCCCTTCACCAGTCTCGTTATTCTTAATGAGTTCTGTCGTCTCCTCTTTGTTCTGACTGTGGTTATTAACAGATTAAAAAGAGCTTAATGCTGCAGAGCAGTGGCAGGTTAAATGATTCTCTTATTTACATTTTCCTTTTTACGGGGCACGACAAACAAGGGGGAATCCCAGAGGGGACTCCTGAGGCTCACACTCCCACACAAGGTTCCTTCTGATGGCCGTGGGTGGCACGGTTCCGTGTCGCAGCCCCGTTGGCAACAGAGAGCCTTCTGGGGGGAATTCCTGGGGAACATCCTTTCTGTCGGCTGCTGTGAGGAGGTGCTGTGTTGAGTGGGGATTGCCGGCCTTGCGCCCCCAGCAGAATCATCTGCGACCAGCCGGCGTTCAGTTGCTGATTAATTCAACAACCCTTTACTGAACCCCCTTCGTGTGCTAAACATTGAGAAAATGGAGATTAGATCTGGGAAAGCAGTATCAATCAGGCGGTAGGGGAAGAAGACCGTAACCGGAAGTGTGTGAACAGGCCAGTGTTGGGGTGTGTTCCAGGGGAGCGCTCAGGAAGGAAACTCTGCCCTGGGCTTTCTGGGGTAGCTGCAGAAAGGTGGTGACACTTGGAGAGCTCTTCAGGAACTAAAGACAATCAGGCCAGGAAGGCGTCCATCCCAAGGCATCGATTAATGTGGGGTTCATTAGTTGGGTTGGGGATGGCTTCTGTTGACGTGGGAAGTTGGGGTGATCAGGCCCAGCACCAGAGCTGCAGGCTGCCTGGGTTCTTCCTGATGATGAAGAGTTAGAGACACACACACACACAGGATAGTAAAGCAGAGAGGCCATCGAGTGAGAGGGGAGGGAGAACAGAGCTCCGAAGAAGGGGATGGGTCCCGAAATGAGCT